GCATGCTCACCTCAGCCCACTTGGTGGTCCACATGGAGATAGGAGAGGAGAGGGCAGGAGAGAGTAGTCTGAATTGGGTTGTGTGGCCCCAGGAGAGGATGCCTCACCTCAGCCATTGAGCTCACTTTGCCACTGAACTCTGCAGGCTGTGAGTCTGTTCCAAGCTCCGGCTAAGAAGGCATCCACCGGTCCCTTCTACAGGCGTAGTCCACGGCTTATCCTGCCCAGTCTGCCCTTGCGCTGAGCCCCATTCTCGGGGCACTCACCTCCCCATGGCTCAGGGAGGGCCTTGTTAGGGCTGCTGCTGGCCCTAGTCTCAGGCCTTCCCAAGGAACAGGTCACTCACCTTGAAGCCCCACGGATGAGCTGCCCTCCGCCCTACTTATTGTGAGATAAACAGTGGTGTCTGCTTGTTCTGATGGCTGATAACCCTTAGGGAGAATAACCCCGACCTACTACTTCCCTTTATCTCCAAGTGTAGTCATCTGCCATGTGTCGCAAACACCTAAGTTTGGCATATATTTGGGGGAGACAACTCGGGAGAAATCTTTCTGTTTCCCACAGGGTTGCTGCCCGCCAGCCCCAGCAAAAAGCATTCCTCTGTCGGGTGTGTGGGAGTGGGGCCTGCTTTTTGTGGGTGCCAGGAGGAGCCCACCAGAAGTATGCTTCGGGAGGGGTCTCACATCTACACCCACTGCAGAGCATGCTTCTAGTGGAGTCCCTCCTGCACCCACACCGACTCCCTAATGGCGAAGGAAGGCACCCTGGTGGGGTAGTGGCTGCACCCTGATGAATAGGAAGGCCAGTGATTCCAGTCTACCAGCCACTCAAGGGCTTGCTGGAGGGCCTGTGGACTAGTTTGAGGGTTTCAGGGCCAGTTTGGGGGTTTGAGGACTAGTTTGAGGCCTGAGAGCCAGTTGGCGGCCTTGAAGGCTAGTTGGGTGGGCTTGAGGGCCAGAAGCATGCATCTTGGGAATACCCACTGGCAGCCCCCCAACAGAAGCTTGCTTTTTGGGTGGGTTACAGCAGAAGCATGCCACTGGGTGGGGGTAGGTAGGCGTGGGAGCACGCAAAAGCATGCTTCTTGGATGCTCCCTCTGGAATACCCCTGCCAGAAGCATGCCTAGGGGGAGTGAGGGTACTGTGGTACTGTAGCCAGAAGCATGCTTCTGGGAGGCTCCCCCTGGCACCCCCCAAACATGCTTCTGGGGGCATGTAGGAGTGGTACGCTGCCAGGAGCCTGTTTCTGGAGAGCTCCTAGCAGCCTCCTACTAAAGCATCCTCTGGAAGGTTGTAGACTGGGACCCGCCAGAAGCCCCTTACTTGAAGCTTGCCTCTGGGGATAGTGCAAGAGTGGGGACCCACCAGAAGCCCCTTACTTGAAGCCTGCCTCTGAGGATAGTGCAAAAGTGGGACCCACCAGAAGCCCCTTACTTGAAGCCTGCCTCTGGGGATAGTGCAAGAGTGGGGCCCCACCAGAAGTCTGTTTCTGATGGCTCTCATTGGTGGGGGGTGTAGGAGTGGGACCCACAAGGAGCATGCTCTGGGGGCTCCCATTTGCAGCCCTCACCAGAATCATGCCTCTCGGGGGGTGAAGGAGTAGGACACCATGGGAAGCATGCTTCTGGGGGTGTCTTCCTGGCAGCCACCTGCCAACAGCATGGCTGGGGGGACATGGAAGAGAGGGACCCCGCCAGAAGATTGCTACTGGAGGACTCCTCTGGGAGCCCCCCCCAATCCTGAAGCAAGCCACTGGGGGTGGTATAGGAGTTGGGACCCCACCAGAAGCATTCCTTTGAGGAGGGGGATGTAGAACTGGGACCCTGCCAAAAGAAAGCTTATGGGGAGCTACCTGGCAGCCCCCCAGAAGCATGCCTCTGGGGTGGGTGTAGGAATGGGACCCCACCAGAAGCCTGAACCTGGGCCGCTCTGCAGCCCCCGCCAGATGCTAGCTCTGGTGTAAGAGTGGGACCCTGCCAGAAACAGGCTGCTGGGGGCTTCCCCTGCCAGCGCCCCACCAGATGCATTAAGAATGGGATCCCACCAGAAACATGCTTCTGAGGGGCTCCCCCTGGCAGTCCCCGCTCCGGAATCCTGCATCTGGGGTGGGGA